GGGAAGGAAGTACAACTGAAGGTCAGAGGAGAAGCCCTCGAGGTGCAGTGGCACGCATGGGAACAGGAATGTGTGATCATCTTTCTATAGCTCAATATCTTCTGCATCCACTGATTTTAAGCAGAGAATATTTTGCTGCATTATTTGATTATAATCTGGGGCTGAAAATAAGATATAATCTATCGACATAAATTTTGGCAAACGGAAAGGTATATAAAATTGAGTTTTGCTGAGACATATTAGCATGGTCTGATTCTGATTTTCAGTTTCTGATCTTGCCTACATCACCTTTAAATGGCTCATGTGAGGATAAATAAGACATTGATATGAAACGTAGAGGAGAGATGAACAGGGAAAAAGGTAAAGCTTGTCAAATTTTGTTTAAAATATTACTCTTTCAGTTTACTTCACTGAAAATAAAAGTGAACTTGGAGGGAATTGAAAACATGATTTTACCACAGAGAAGCAGATTAAATGAGGAGTATCAATGAGTTCTAGCTGCTATATTTTACACAGAAAACGATGCTTTTTGTGTTTGTGACATAAGTCAGAGTGTAATTGAGAGGGTGTTAGAAAAATATTTAAATGTAATTATTTTTATTTTGAAAAAGTGAGGTGGAAACTAAAGAAATATCTTCCTAGTTCTTTCACTAGTTTTGTTGTGCAACTGAGCTAATCAGTGAAGTGGCTAGTGCCTCCGTTTCCCCTTCTTGATAGAAACATAGTAAAATTAATCCCTCAGACCACTGTGTGATTTAAACCACTATGTTTTAATGCTTCTTTAGACAGAAACGCAATCTGTTACTCTAATAAATAGATAATAGCTTTCTTTCAAAAATTTCTGTCCAGAACCTGGTTTATTTATCTTAAGCATTTGAATTGTAAACACTTGTTCTGGCTTTGATTCTTTGTCAGGGGTGCAGATTGCTAAGAGCAGTAATCTCTTTTATCTGTTTGCTGAAGCACATTGCCTTGTTTCCACTTGCTCCTGGCTGGCTGGTGTTAGGACCCAGAAAAGAGACAGCAGCAACGTGATATAAATAGAGTACCAGAATGGGACAAAGTTTGAGAAGAAAGCATGACATCACTCAGACTTGCTCTCCACCCAAAAAGATCTGGGATGGAGGTGCAAACGTGAGCTAGCCGAGAGAGGAGTTAGTAACTCTTTTCAGCTCAGTTTCTGAGGAAATTGTGGGAGTTCTACGCCCTATGTGCTATAAGGAAGTACGTTTTCTTGCTAGCAAAACTAAAACTGGCTGCAGAGCTCTGACAACGTGAAAGTAATTGGAAGGAAAAGACAACCATAAGAAGAAAGTTGAAAACAAGATCTTCTCTTTTTGGCACAGATTCTGACAGAAATATTTGACTTCTTTCCACAGAACAGCACAACTTTCGGATCTGATGCACATTTCTTTTAATTTTCCTCCAGTCACGGTAATTTATTTATAGTTAAATGAAGAGATCAAAGTGTGAAGCAAACAAATACTACTTAAAGAGTCTGGAAGGATAATTCACCATCACTGAAGGAACAGACTTTTTGAATCTTCATGGAAAATGTGCCTTTTAATACAAGTAGCAAAGGAGAACATATGATTGAAAACTTACAGGAATTTGATTTCGGTTGTACTTTTAACCTTAAATAGACCATGGAGAATTTATTATCTCTGTTCTGTTGTCATTCTTCTTTGCTGATTTTATTTCAGTACAAATATCAGGTAATGTTCTGAATATGGTCAGTATTGAGATATATTTGGATTCATCTCAGCAAGTTTTGCCTCGCTGTGTCTCATTATGTAATGTTTTATGTGCAGGTGTATGGAAACTATTCCCAGCTACCCAAACACCCAGGTAAGTAATATTCAGTTTACATTTTATGACAATGTATTTAAATATTTATTTGCTTTTTTTGGTTTATATTTTTCATTTTTGTAGAACCTCCAAAGAAACTGTTGTCCTACACTTGAATGTCAGCTCTGTACTAAAAATGTAATAAAGTTTAAGTATCAGACTGTCCCAGTCATTTAAAATTTAATAACGTGCTTACTAAATATTCTGCATAGAAATATATTTGGAGAAAAATTACTTGTATTTGATTTGTAGAAAAAATCCTATAGAAGCTGTTTATTATTTTTTTTTTTTTGAGCATGAGTGTTTGAATCAGACTTCTGCGCAGACTATTTTCTTTTTTTTTCTCCTCAGTTTCTTAGTGTTCAGCATTTTCAATTCAATGATTTACAGTTAGATATGCCAGCTTGTATACTTTGCAATACTTTGGCATGGCTTCAAGTTTCACCCTCCTCCCAGCCTTCACGCTTAAGTTTAAATCAGTTATAAAGCATATTAAGACTCTCTCATCTGTTTTCAATGTAGAAAAAACTTATTCAAAGCTTATTTGGAGTCTGTGTGTGTAACTGCAGACTTCTTCTGTTTATATAAATAGTTTAACCTCAAGCCTCATGGTGGTGTACAAGTACAATTTTACTGCTTTCCCAATTCATGCATTGCTTTGTGCTTTTAGGTTTTAGCCATATGTAATTATTTTCAAATAAAACAGAGAGCGATGCAGAAAAGCCACGTTTGCTATTGCAGGAGCTTCAGCCCGATTAGTTTTTGTTCAACCTTTGCTCAAAACCCAAAGAAATACAGTCTCATTCCCTATGGATGAGGCTCACTGGCTTCTAGCTGGTGGAAAACAGGGGGGAGGAAGCCCCCCGCAATAAAGGGGCAAATTACACAACATTTATTTGGTAGTACTGTGTGTGTAAGCACAACTGTGAGCAATGCTTTCTGGATTGGAGCTAAGCTGTGAACAAGTCCTCTGATTTTGTTCTAAACCCAATGGAATTACCTATTGAAAGGATACTGCAAGTATAAGTTGAATTTAAGGCAACAGGTATTTGTTTTCAGAGGGCTTCTCAGGGCTGATTGGCTGTAAGAGGGGTAATAGCATGGCTTAAAATAACTCAGAACTGGTAGCTGGGAAAGCCACTGACCTGCAGCGTGGCTCTAGCCAGTCTGCTTTGCTGTATATCTATTTCCCTTCTCTTTCCCCCACCATTTTTGTCCAGCTTTTAAATGTAAGCTCCTTAGAATATAGCTTCTCCTTATGAGTTCGATGCCAGCCATGGCAATGCCTTTGTCATGATGCTACTACTACTAAAATACTTGTGCCACAGCATGAAACAAATTTTTGGCATCAAATAATTTTCTTCTACAACTTCTCTTTTCTTCTTCAGTTTTCTTCTCTTTTTTTTTTTCCTGCCACATCTCTTAACTTTAATCTTTTTTTTTCCCCCCCTTGTTACAAAAGGGAGATATTAATGGTAATTAATATGGACATTTGCATAAAAATACACTGTGAAACAGCAGGCATGTTCTGCAAAATGGAACTGGTAGTTGGGTAGAAGCACAGGTAGCCTATGTGGGTGATCTTAATACTACCGAAGTTTTTAACTTTCATTTGTGTTGCAGCAGCCAGAATATGCTCTTTGAAAATAGAGCTAAGCACATACCCAGATTTATGTTATGGTTACAAAAAATCTTGTTCTTATATCCTGTTTCCTCACTTTGCTTTGCAACACTCAGTTGAGTTTGGGTTGTCTGAAACTTTCAGACTGGATTTTGTACCTGCTTATGGTGTGTCATTATTCTCTTATGCTGGCAGTACTTTTCTCCTTTCATTAACAGTTGTGTGTTTGTCTGTGTCTTGCAAATATTCCAAGGAAATGTATAGCCATGGAATCTCACCCATTTCTCTAAGGACACCTCCATCTTACCTATTTATGCTCATGCTCCCTCTCTGTTGGAAAACCTCTTATGACAACTAGGGACATTTCTAGTTGTATAGGCCAATAATAGATCCTGGTCAGTAATGAATCATTTGTTAAATATGTTTGGTATAGTTGAGTTTGGAAGCAAGTCTTAGTAGTTCATGTATCCTCACAAGATGCAGAGTTTATTTTAGTCCCATGCTCTTGAATCTACAGTTGCTGGTTGTGGTGTTTAGCAATTTTATCAGCTTTGTGCTCTTATTAAAACAATCTTAGGATCCTCTCTTTGCCATAACTCAAACTATACCATGAGCTCTCCACTGTGTGGGCTAGGCAATTAAGGATGCAAATAAAATTTTGCACCTTCATGTCTATTATAAAGAAATTCTGTTTGTATCCAGAATATTAAAATGCTAGAATAATTATCAAACAGGCAAGCTATTTTGATCTCAAGAGTGAAGAAAGGTATGGGATAGAAAGGTGGAGGTGTAAATGTCAAAGTACACGGCTTGTGATTAGTTTTAATTGACACACAAGGTGTGAGGAGCTTTTGTATGGTATGACAGCTGAGAGGTTTTTAACAAACTTATCTCTATCAGCTTCACACCTCAGGTTCTTGAAAGATTGCTTGGGAATGAAAAATGATTGTAGGGTAAAGAACTACAGATATGGTGTCATATAAATACTTGCTCTTTCTGTCCCTGCTGTCCATTGTGTCATTCCCCTCCTGCTCCCCAGAGAAAAGATTGACTCAAACTAATAGGCTGATATTCCGTGATAGTGAATGTAATATATTCTAATTTACGTTCACAGTAAAATTTCTGTATATCTGTATCAACCTTCTAAAACTTTCCTACATTATAAATTTATTTCAGCACAGCAGGTTAAATGTAATTATTTTGACAATAAAGGTTTTCTTGCAGCTAACAAGATAATAAGAAATTACAATTAATGTTTTTCAGTGTTAATGCTCTACCCTTAAAATAGAATTGTTATCTTAACACAAAATTTCTTTCTTTTGAGCAGCCTGGTTCTGGTCAGATTTGAGTACTCACATCTCCTAAAATGCCCCATGCATTGCCTTCTTGGTGCTTTGTACTCACCACTGTGTGTTTAAAATCTTAAAATTACTCTTGAATGACTCGTCAACTATTACTTCAATCAATGCTGCCTGATACACTAGCAGAGATTTGGTCAGAGATTGTTACACATTTTAAGTGTAATTAAAATAAAATTCAATTAAGTTTTAAAAACAGTTTTCAGCAGTGGTCAATCATATATATAGCTTTAATCTGCTGTGCCATTTTGATCTATGAACTTGCTTATGTGCCATACTAGACTTACATTAAATATATTCTTTTACTTACTTATTGACCTCCTTTATTGTTTTCTCCTGTGGAGACTTGTTACAGTCCTTGTCAGTCCTTACTTTAACCTTTTCATCTGTGTTTCTTGAAAGGGTTCAAAGTTCTTGCATCAGCTTCCCATTACTGGCCGTTGGAAGACGTGGACGGAATTCATGAATTTCGGGATACAGATGGAGGTAGACAAAGGATTCGTTAACAGTGGCAATAACATAAGTATTTGTGGCAGTCTAAGTAGAAAGGGAGCAGGAGAAATGGAAGGGGTTAGATTTTGAACCACAGCAGTTGAGGTTTTTTTTTAAGTTACTCTTTTTGCAGTGCTCCTATGTCCAAGTGATATTGTATTTGTGAACTGATTTTTATAGAGTATTCTCAGACGTTTTATGGGCTGTCTACGCATTAAGATTATAAAGAGAAAAGGTTTATGATCCAAAGAGTCATTGAAATCACACTGTTATTAGCTGGTTTAGTACATACATAATATGCACTAACACACTCAGTGACTGAGCTCTTTGGCTACGCCAGCAGTGAAGATTTCTGCTGCTTCTTGCTTTTTGGAAGGAGTTAAATGCCCAAATCCTTCATGTACTTTTGAAAATTGCAAGTACTATCTATAGAAAGAGAAATGTAAACTCTTATCTGAGTACTTCTTACTCATTTTTATCTGCTTTTGAGTATTCCCTTAAAGGCAATATTGCAGCATTAGTTCAAATTCTTTTTCCAGTCAGGCAAAATCAAGAGAAATTTGGTGAGGCAAAACTCTCATTGAACTGAGTCAGTTGTCAGGACTGCAGGATCCCAGAGGGAATGATATTAAAAAGCAATCTGGTTGGGTTCAGCAGTGTTCTCGTTCTGATGTTTCTCATCAGGACCAAAAAGGGGGCGAGGGGTGTTTCTTGGGGATGTGCAGGTGATGTAACCAATGGAGCTTTGACCAAACCACTGTACCTCATTGCAGCATTATGGGCTTGCAGGACCTTTCCTTTCGGATGAAATTTTCAGCTATGCTCTGCCTCCTTCTGCGGCTCAAACATCCCTTAGTAATTTTCAAATGAAACTTTTTTTTGCTTCTGACATTTTAGCCAATTCCAAGCTGGGCTGATGTATGTCCCCCAGTATTTCTCACAGTGTGGCTGCCCACCTTGGCAGCTGAGCTAAAGTGTCTTGTACTAGTGCAAGGTGTAGCTGCTGTGTTACTGTAATATCTTTACTCAGAAAAATCACTCACTGCAGAAGATTTATATCAGGAGTTGGAGACCTTTACAACCTCACATGGAAAATATTACAAAAGTAAAAAGTTATTGCTATTTATTACATAAATTTGACAATATCAATCTATGTTCCAAAGTGGGAAAAAGATCCATAACTGTCTAAATCCTTTTATTCCAGAGGTGTTAAAGTATTTTAAGTTTAAACTTTGATGTCACCATCTTTCCACTGTTTTTTGAAAGAATGAAATTGAACAGAAATAAATCTGGTCAGTATTCTGCTCCCATTAGGGGCTGATGGCAGCGTTCTTATTGACTTCAATAGAACCATAATTTGGCTTCCAAAAAGTTAACAACATGAGTACTCTAACAGTGTATAAACACAATTTTCTGACACTGGACTTCTTGTAGCTTCAAGAAGAGTAAATCACTCCATATCCATAGCTGTTTTGGTGCTCATGGTACAATGAAGACATTTTGAAAATGATTGTAAATGATATATAAAATATAGCTATTGGAAAAGTAACAATCTATGTTCGAGTTTTATTTTTTCTAAAAAAAATTATGTTACGTTATGTTATTTCAGCAAAATTCAGAAAACTTTTCAGTAGTATCTTGGGAAAGCAGAACACACAAAGATCCTGGTCCTGCAAACCTTCTCTTACAGGAGTGGGACTGGCTCACGTGAGCCATCTCCTTTGACTCCTGCTGTGACACTGTGTTAAACAACGTTATAAATGAGCCAGCTGCATGACTTTGCTGCAAAAAATTTGAAGGACTTTGTCTCACTATTATTTGCAGAGGTTGTTAGGAGCCAAAAAAGTCTAACTATGCACTACAACATTGAGAAAAGAATTTAACATTGTCAAAGGTCTTCTAAGTTGTTTATATTGTATCATATAATACCCAGATATTATTTCAACTGCCTACAGCAGAGGTTTTATGTATCTATCTGATATTTGACTTTGATATACAAGAAAAGTTTTCTTTATTCTTGTAATCTAATGCAGGTGACAATTTGCTTGTTTTTGATACCATTCTGATTACACAACTCTTCTGTTTATTGCTAGAGTCTTTCTTGTTTTTCCACTCATCATATCATGCAATTATTTTCATTTCATGTTTCGTGTCTTAAATCCTTGAAGCATCGTAATCTGTCTGTCATGTTAATCCATTTTATTTGTTGAAATCATTGTGTGTGAAGCCAGATTTATATCTCTCAATGCGTTTTTGTTGTGAGAGAGATTGTCAGCAAATTAATTTTTTTTTTGTTATCTCAGCAGTAGAAGCAATTGAAGGGAAACAATTAACTTAAAATACAGCAAATAAAAAAAAAAAGCTGTGGCCATGTTCAGGTTTTTCACGTATCCCTAGTTTTCCATGATTATTTTTTTTCCTTTTAAAAGCATTTGCCTTTACCTTCTATGAGCTCAGTTGGTCTAAATCCAAAATCAATGTTTCTCTGTTTACTCTCATGGGCTTTCCACCATGGTCTATTTGCCCACTTAGGGTAAATAATTACAGTGTGCAAGATTCTGTTAAATTACCAAAACAAGGAAAAAATATTTGGAGAATAAAATTTTATTGGCTGATATATGAGAGTTGGGATTTTCTTATTTTTTTGGATGAAATTAAATATATTTTAATTTGTGCCCACTGCCTCTTGACTGTTCACTGGATACAACTAAGGAGGGTCTGGTACTATCTTTATACCTCCTGCCAAGTATTTATACACATTGATAAGGTCCCCGAGTCCTTTCTTCTCCAGACTGAGCAGTCCCAGCCTTCTCAGCCTCTCCCTGGACTTGCTCCACTATGTCCATGTCTCTTTTGTACTGGGGAGCCCAGAACTGGACATGGGACTTGAATTGTCCATAACTTTTGCAACTGTATAATGATTTCTGTTATAAAAGCAGAGTTCATTACTAGCATGATTATATTTCAGAGCCCTTTATCTGCACTTACATTTTTAAATATTTTTTTCTTCTCAGTTACTGTAAGGTAAAAAAAAAATGTTTTAGTGATGTTTTATTTACATAACTTGTGTAGTTAAAGAATGTCCACATTCACATGCATATGTGTCCTTGTAGAAAGTGATTGTATTGATAAATTCAAAGGCCACTGACAGATATCTGTGATTTGTGCTATGTTGAGAGATATGAACTGGTCAGTTCGTTACTGATTGTGTTTATTCATTGTTTTGCTTATTTTCTTTTGTTGTTCCACCCAGCTTTAAGAATCCACAACTTCACTGTGCTTCCTTCCCATAACTCTACCTTTGTATATACCAATGACTCTGCCTACTCTAACTTCTCTGCAACTGTAGGTGAGGATTTACATATTTTTTGTTCTGTCTTTGTCAAGCTTGGATGGTTCTTGTAACAATGGATTCAAAGTTAACGCTGAGTTTTGGTTCAAATGGTCGTGCAGTAAAGGTCTATTTATGCTTATGTTGGCATATATTATTGAAAAAACACTCCTGCAATGTTAGCTGAGTTACTCTGAACTACTGGGAAAGGTATCCCCATGCTAAGCAGTTCAAAAAAGTCTGCATATATGTGTCCTTGTAAGATTTTTTCTTTTTACACCAACACACTACGATATAAAAGGAAGAACAGAAAATGACAATTCTCTAGGCAGAAACTTGACAGATTGGAAACTAGTTACATCTACACCAGCATAAGCTTAAAGTCATTTAATTCAAATCAGTAGGATTTATACTTGTGTAGGTGCAATTGAAACATGACCTCTTGTCCACTTTACAATTAGGTGTTAACTCACATTTAGTTGCTAGAAAATCTGACCTAAGGAGAAGGATGAAAATGGTAGAACTGTAATTTGGGCTGCTCAGATACTAGGAGGTTTATATTAGAGTACTAAACCCGCTATTTTTCTACTCTCTAACAGTAAAAATATGCTGGCAAATGTGAACTCTATTAATAATGAACTTCAGATGACCCTAATTCCTTTCAGTCTTTTCTTATCTGCTTTACAGACCATTTGCATAGTTCTCACATAATAAGATACATTCAATATGAACATTAAAAAGAATGACATCAATGGCAAAGGAAATGCAATGGAAACAGAAGTGCATTACTTTATGGGATTTATTCTGGCTAGATTAACTTAGAATTCAAGTGACTCAAGAAGAATTTGGAAATGTGTGCTTCACTCTGTAATATAGACTCAAATTTTCAAAAGCAACTAAAACTGATCTGTCAATTAGAGGTAGATGACTTCTTCCTCAAAGGGTGGGAAGATACCTGAAAATGGTGGTATTTGTGTTGGAATGAAGTAGGAAAATAGCATGAGGTTTCTGTTAAGTCAGGTAGATATACAGTGATAAATACAGGGAGAAGTCCCTTATGTCTCACCCTTCATGTGTTTTCAACCATTTGTGTGCCTTCCTCGTTTCCCTTTATGATCTCATTAGATTTTCAAATATCAAGCAGCACCTAGCTGACAACTTCTGTGCCTCAGAGAAGAAAATATTATATTCTCCTTGCTGGTGTGTTTCCCTTGGAAAAATTCTTCACAAGAAATTGTAGAGAAAACTCTTAAAACCAAAGTCCTGAATCTTCACAAAGCTTGCAGAAATGCTATCACAAACAATGACATTACCATGAAATTCCAAACTGAATAATTACATTGTCTGCTCCAAAATGGAAGGTGTAATATTCTGTGTTCCGTGGAACGCAGGCTTTTTAACACAGAAAGAGCTGGACTCTCAGACCCTAGTCAGGTTTCCCATAGCAAACAAGTGTCATGTTTTTCACTATTAAGAGTGCTCATGAGCTTCAGCAGAAGCTGACAAGTCAACAGTGTTTTTCTTTAGGAGGGAACACAAGAGAATTGCAATCAAATCACAAGATATTTTCCATACTAGACAAAGAACCTTTCCAAATGACAATGATACCATACCAAAAGTCTGAAAAGGACATACATTTCTGCCTTTTGCATATAGCTTGTCAAGTGTGTTTCATCCTTTTTTTTTTCTTTCCCATGAAAAGTGGCTTTTGATCACAAAATTTCCCTTTCAGAAAAATGCAAAAAACCTTTTCTGTTACAATTTTGATTGATTAAAGAACCTCCTCCCCAACTCAGCCCAACAGTAAGACAGAAGTGCCTCTATGATACGTCTGGTAACAACAAAACACCACCAAGTCCCTACTAAATGCAAACAAAAAAAAGAGAAAAAACAATAACAACAAAACTCCAACCAAATCAAACCTGTAGTTAGGACAAGATAAACATGAGTCTGTTAAAATCATGTCTATAGCAAGTTTTGATTTATATAATTGTCGAACTGTATTTTGTTTCTCCCTTAGATATTGTAGAAGGAATGGTGAACAAAGGAATCTATGTCACTGAAGAGAAAGGAGTTACCTTTCTCTTCTTTGGAAGCTATCGAAATTCCTGCATTAGTAATCCAGAAGTTTGTGGACCTGAAGGTTAGTAAATTCATTAATTACTATTTACTTTTCTCTTGCAGTCAAATGATGTAATTCCATAATCATTGTTTCTTTTCTTGGTGGTATGAACTCTCTAAAATTCTAGCTTGACAGGTCTTTATTGACTTTTAAAAGGATTCACTGTTGATTGCTGGAAATGTAGTCTTTTCTAACTGCAATTTAAATTAGAACTAATCACCACCTACTCAGATCAATGATCTACAGTATAATTAATTCAAAAAAAAGCAGAAGCAAGCTTGCAGTGCCCAAAATTTTGCCTGTGGCACCAGGATTAATTCCTACAAGAACTGCAGTTTTACAGACAAAGAAGTTGTCCAGAATGTTTCAAATGTAGGAAACACTTTTTCACTGTAGCTTCTTAGCATTTTTTTTATTATTATTTTTTTATTTTTTTTTTATCTCTAGAGGTAACAAGATTTAAGTTTCTGGTATCTTGTCAACTGTTTGTAGTGGCTTAAATCTTTTCATATTTCTCTTCCCTTTCTGCTTCTTGGACTAGGGTCTCAAAATGACTGGTGGAATGGGGGACAATCTGTTGATTACAGAAGATGATTGAAACTGTGTCAAACCAAACATACAACTAGTCCCTAGCATTAGAGATTTAAAATTCAGTAGAAATGGAAGGATATATGGGAAAAGGTGACTTTCTATACATAAACTGCAGTAGTCCATAAGCTTAAGTACTATTATTAATATTGAATTTTCTTGTTTTTATTGATTCAGGCCATTATTCAAATAGGTAACATTACTTGAAATAGGATTTATTTTTTATTTTAGCTGCTAAATCAAGAGCTGTGTATGAACTTTTAAAGAAGGTAGGAGACACTCAGAGAGCAAATGGTACACAGCAATTACCTGAGAGTGTTAGAAAAAGTAATTTGGTATCATACTTTAGGTATATTTTTTGATACATGCTGTATCTTTTCATACTTTCTGTCATACCACAGAGAAATAAAAATCATCAGTAAGTCATATTATTGCTACATCTATAGTGTAATGTAATAATCAGAATAAATTATTTTTATAGTACCAGAGCACTCCTAGTGTCTCATAAACAAGAACATTAAAACCAGAAAATACTGAAATGTTCAGCAGATAAATGTGAAGAGAAGAAATCATATAAACAATAAATACTAAATCACTGTAGCAGGTACTAAAAAAAAGGGGGAAAAAACAACACACTTTTATCTAAAGAGTATTTTCTAGTTTTTGCTAATCAAATAAAACCTGTGGCAATGATAACATGTAATTTTACTCATCTACTATTGCTTAAACATCCCTTGATGTCTATCGGTTGTATTTGTGTGAAACTGGTCTTAAGCACATTTAAGCAGTGGATACTTTCTGAAATGACATGGGGATATTTTCAGATTAAATATTACATCCTATGAAACAAAATCCCAGAATCTTATCCTAGGATAAACTGAATAACATTTCAGAACTGCTATTTTGATTTGAGAAAACAAATTCTTCTTATTTTTTAAATGTTGAAACATTCTTCCTCTGCCTTCCTTCTTTGCCAACTAATTTTTAAACAGTGGTTTTCTGTAGGCAGTTTTGGGCTCATTGAAGTGGCATTTTCAGTCAAAAGAAATATTTGTGAAAGATGCAAGAGAGCTATTAGTTTGAACACAGTAGGAGAAGTTGGATGTAGCCAACTAAGAACTTAGTTCCACGTTTTTTTTTGTGGCTACAGGATGATCAGTATCTACAGGGTAGTCCAGGATAGACAGTCAAAGATGGGGGAAACAAGCTTCACTGCAGACATGCTGTATAACATAGTTTCTCTGTCTACATCATTTAAACTGCTTCTCTTGTCCTGTAAAGAAGGAATAACAGCACTTCCACACCTTTCAGAAATATGGTGAAGCACTGGAAAAGGGTTGTGGGACACATTGACAAAGGAATAGCATTAACAGCAGTAACAGATGAACATGCTCCATCCTGGTGGCCCTTTCACTAGGATGATCAAAACAGAAAGATCAGTTAGCTAGGAAGATACTACATAGTTAAAATATTTATTCTGCAATAATAAAATGTTTAGCTTTTTTGCTGAGTTAATTTGACAACAAGAATACAAAAAGTATCTACATATATTAAAAAATATTCTGGAAACCAGAGTGTGTTTGGGGGTATTTTTGATGATTGTAGTGAGCTTTTCCACCTTTAACCATAAAACTATGAAACACATTTAAAAAAAGTCTATGGTTTTAACAAGAAATGTACATAATAGTTTGAGGGCTTCATTAACTTGTGCTGGACTATCTGATAGCAAATTGGCAAAGTTCTTACTGCCTGAGGGGCCTGCAGAGCTGCTAACTATAAAATCGTCCAGACAGCTATTTTGACTACATGTCAAACGAGCACAGTCAGCAGGTTAAGGGAAGAGATTAGTCCCCTCTGTTTGGTGCTCATGAAAGCATAGCTGAAGTAGTATGCCCCATTTTGGTCCCCTGACACAAAAGAGATGCTGACAAACCAGAGTGAGTCCAGCAGATGAACATTACGACGTGGGAATAGAGGCTGAGGCTTTTCTTTACCCCATGAGGAAAAGAGACTGCTAAGGGCTGTCTTCAACAACCTGATGGGTGGTTATAGAAGCAGATGGTGCTAAATGATCGTGGAGATGCATAACGAAAATGTGACAGACAACACAGGCATATTGTAGCACAGGAGATGGTGATTAGATTTAACAAAACAAAGGTTCTTTGCAACATGGGTGGCCAAGCATCAGGATGGTTTGCACAGTGGGGCTGTGCAGTCTGCATCCATGGTGACATTAAAACCTCAGCTGAGCTCTGAGAAACCAGATCCAGCTTTGAAATTGGCCCTGCTTTGAGCAGGCAGTTTAGACAATATGATCTTCAGAGTCTTTGCCAGGTTAATTCATTACGCTTCTTTGTGGCAAAACCCCTTCCACTTCTGTACTCATAAACTTTTTCTCAACCTGCTCTGAGCTCAGATTTTATTGTTAGCACTTTGTACTATAAATTCTGGGATGAACATTTTTAGGAGCTGTTTAGTCAGGCCATTTTCTTTGTGTTCACATTTGACTGCAGAACGTCTACAACAGAGCCACTAGGAACTTTTGAAGTGCAAAGGAGGGTTGATATGCTACTTGTGTTTCAGTCAAGCCTTTTGAGATAATCTTTATTAAAGAAACAAGCTATCTTACAGAAATCATCCTTACATCTAAAATCTACACTAATCTGCGATCTGAAGAGCCCTTCAATTTTACAGTAAAATAGTAAAACTTACTGTGAATTAAACAGGATTATTTGTTGACAAAGTTAATCACATTTGCACTTGCAATCCTTCTTTTGGGAAGAATTCTTTGATTTTTGTGTTGGTGGAGACCTCAGAATTTTGACTGTTGCTCTGCTTGTGTTGCTGTCCCTTTCTTTTACATTGATCCTTTGCTTTGAGAGATTATTGGACCACTGAAGTGTGGAAACACAGGTAAAAACATGCTTAGAAGAATTAAAGTGTAATTAGCAATAAATGCTACTCAAATAGCAGGGGCATGCTGGCAGCCAGTTAGTGCATCAGTAGCTTGGAAGTAGTCAGTGTACTCTTTCTGGATCTGCTGGCATTTGATGAGCCTCAAAAAAAGATGTAGATACTGGTGGGAGGATATGGAGTTATGAAAGCAACTCGCATTTTGAAAGAACAGAATATCACAGGAAGAAAAGGGGATCATCACAGGAGGGTGAGAGGGGTAAGAAGATTAGAGAGATAAGGCAAAGGGAATGGAAGCAGAAATCTGTAAAGAAAAAAAGATGTTATTGCTGTGGGTGCTCAAAGGATTTTAGTTTTAACTGATAGAAGCTACTCAGGAAACAATGATTACTGCTGTGTCCTGGGTATGCACATGTGATGTGAAACCAAAGAAGAGAAGTTTATTTGGTTTAAACTGTTAGAACACTGTTGATTTTAAAAAAGCTGTCCTTGTTTATGCTAATGGATGATCTGTCCTCAAAACTATTCCATCTCTCTCTATTCTACAGTACTGGAAATTTGTAGTTACTCTTTTTTTTCTCCCATCAAAATCTCCTCTCATTTGCTTTCACCAGGAGTAACGTTTTCCTTTTTCTGGAAGACTCAAGACCAGCAGGCTAAGTTTCTCCCTGCCTCTGGTGGACAAGTAATTTCCAGTGGTTTCAAAGTCTGTTCGAATGAAGGTGAAGGCTCAGTGGAATTTTACACCCGTGGGAATGCAATGATGAAGTGGAAAGCAAGCTTTAGTCCCCCAGGTACAGTTAATAATACTTTTTCTAAAATAAATAATTTCTTTGTTGTATTTTACTGCAGAGAGATACAGTGATAAGAGCACAATTTCAGGAAATAGAAAGAATAGCTACAGAGCTGTGTTCAAGAATTCTCTTGATGTGGAGACAGATAAAGTACAAACTGAAAAACCAGAGTTGTTGTATTATAGAATATTTACAATTCAGTAACAATTGTCGGACCCAACTTCTAGTTGTTTTTGAAGTGAAATTCTTATTGACATCAATAGATTAATGAATGCTTAGATGGAACAGAAGTGAAGGATGCAGGTTATCCCTGATGGTTCTCAGCATACTCTAAAACTGGACACATGTGCTGTCCTCTGCTGCCTCTTAGATTAAGACTTTATTTGGTAACTCTTTAACTGGGTCTTTAGTGCTTTGGACATTTTGTTATCTGTTGAGTGTCAAGTTTTGTATGCCATGGCATATGTAGTATCAATAAACATTTTGTTGTATCACACATCTTACTGCTTCTATCTAAACTGTGTAATGTTGGGTTGTGGTATTACTGACTGAAATAAATTCTTGTCTTCCAGTAATGTCAAAGACAATCACTGAACCTTTTCTGGCCCTAATTTGACTACCTGTACGTTGGTAAAGGGGGCCTTTCTCACCTTAGAGTAGCAGAGTTTTATAAAGCTCAATAAATCAGTTTAGGGATCTGATTTTATGAGAAAAGCTGCTAAATGGTGAGAATAATCCACACATTTTTGGGTTATCCAATCCAAGTGAAGTTTAATATTATGTTTTCAGCCTCTCAAGTACAACAAAGAAGCTGTGGCAACTTTTAATTAGTCTCTTTGCTTGTTCTCCAAATCTTGCAGTTTTTATGCAGTTCTTGCTGAACTGAGTTTTGAGATAGTATTAAGAGACTTCAAAACTTGGCCAATAATACTTAGCAAGCATAATTTATGAAACTGCAGTGAGCCCAAGCAAGTGTTCAGACAAAAGCTAACAGGCATTCTGCCAAAGCAGGGACTTCCCCATGGGTATAAAGATTAATATACATGACATCAGCATTCCATAATTCTCTCTTAGCATTTCCTATACAGCTCTGTAGCATTGCACAAGTCAGCAAAAATGTACAGAACAGGAAAGACCCTAAACGGAATTGATTCATGGATTTTGGTGTGATTTTTAATGTTTTGCAGGTCCTTATTGGACTCATATTCTCTTTACTTGGAAATCAAGAGAAGGACTGAAAGTCTATGTCAATGGAACTCTAAACACAACCGATCCAGATGGGAAAGTTTTCTATGATTATGGAGACCCTAGAGCAAATCTTCTGACTGGGGCAGAGGGAGATCAAACCAAGCGCTATGTGAACGGGGCATTTGATGAATTCATTATATGGGAAAGGGCACTCACCCCCAACGAAATTGAGCAGTACTTTACAGCTGCTATTGGTGAGTATGTGCACTTTTGTCATAATTCATCTTCTGTAAAGATGCTGACTTAAAAATACTTAGTATATAGGATTTGTTTTCATTTTACATCTTTCCATTATTGACTGTAATTTTTAGAGGCAGAAAAATGCAGGTGTGAATGTCACCAAAACATTCACCTCTCTTTGGATGTGTAGGCTTTTCTTCCCTGGTTCTAGCTCCTTAAAAATGTCATTAAAAAATTATGAAGTCCTGGAGTACCCAGTCTTTGTTAGATCCCCTAGGATCAAGAAAAAAGGAGCAATTATTAGACTTAAGGCAGAACAGTACTAGGAAAGACTGACTCCAGATTTCTAACTTGTACTCTGGTTGGTGTGTAACTCAAAGCAAGTCACTCAGTGTACTCCAGCAGGTGTGGATGATAGTGGTTATCCATCTCCTGTTCCTGGAACAATAAATACTCATTAACTCATGGATGCCTATGAACTAGATAGAAGGATATTGGATGAAGTGTAATATAAAAAGCAAAGAATTTGGATTAGAACAAAGGCTTAGAGAACTCATTGGTGAACCCTGTTGGTTGTTCCATAGATCTTTGTTATAAACTTTTCACTGCAAGAAAGGCTGTTGCTATTAAGTACACGTGTGTGAGTAGCAATTAGAAAGCATCCATTTTGGGAAGGAAGCTATGGTGCATCTGGAACATTTGGCTTCACTGGCATTTTCCCTGCTTTCATTTATTCTTACTAGGTTACTGAGACCTAAAGCAGCTACACCCATAACTCTTGTGCTTTTTAACCCATGGGAAACATTTTCAGAATGGAAACACTTTGAGTAAAGCAGAACTTCTGATGTGTGCCTGGAAACAAACGTGTATGTGTTTGTGACTTCCAGGTTTGATTATCACAATCAAATATATACAAAATATATTTTATCAAAAAGAAAATATAAACTAGTTTATGTGGAAGTGAAGTCACTGAGGAAAAAACCCTCCATCTGGTGTATAATGAAGCAATCTGTTTGCTTTGACACAAAATAACAGCAATTATGCTCAAGCTTTTTATTTTAAAACATTTTTATTTTTAAAAGTGATTTCTGTGAAAGTCTTCAAAAATTCTGATTGGGAGACTATTCATTGCGTACAAGAAATAGGTTTAAAATCTTACAAAAAAAAGTTTTACTAACTTTCTAGTGCTTTGGTCATGTTGGAAAAAAAAACGCTTTTGTATTTGGCTGTTGTATCTTTCACAGCAGTGTGGGGTTACTAGAGCACTAGCCAACTCAAAGTTACCATAAATCACATTCTTTGATGTAGTGTAAGTCAAACCGAACTCCAAGAGCAGTAGATTTTCAAATTGTCCTGATCCATCTATATGTGTGCCCTGTTTGCTGTCAGAATGGTGTGACTTATATAAATAGAAAGAAATTATTTATTTCTAACCCCTTAAACTCTTGTGAACTCACAGCAATGGTGCTCTGAAGCCCTCCGCCTGCCAATCTCCACTCCAACAAATAATCAGGGCATCATGGACAGCTCTTTCCATGAATGCAAATCTTGTTCATGACTGAAATTTTTACTTCTTTCCTCAGTTTGGAAATATTCTTACTGGGGTTCAAAACACCTAGTTGCTGGACAGTAATGCTTGTAGCTAACTATTGAAACATCACAGGAAGAGTTGGTTGAACCATTGGCTTCTACTCAAGTCTAAATTTTTAAACATTTGTACAGATTTTTGCCTGTATCCTACCTTTCCAACCCTGCTTATTTTTAAAAGCCTGTATAGCAAACTCCCTGATTTATACATTGAGATGTTCATGCTGTCAGCTTTTGTGAGTTTATTAAAATTTGCACAACACAATTTGCATTAGGTTATTTTTGTTTGTTTGTTTTTTTCCTTAAACCCCTAGTTCAGTTTTTCAGGGTCACCTGAAACTATCAAATTTCTGTGGAAACTAAATTTCTAGCCTCTTAATTAAAAGTGAAGATAGATGTATATTTTCTAGGGGCTTAGGAATTAAAATGTAAAAGGATGCCAGGTACATATGCTGTTTTGTAAGCGTGAAGAATTTAAAGTCAATATTATTGTAAAGTTTTCAGGTGATTTAGAGCACTTGAAAAATGGGGAGTATTGAATTTTTTGCTTTTTCCTTCAGAGTAGTGGACTGATTAGTTTTTATAAAACTTCTGTTTTGATGGATGGAATTTGAACATTCTCAGAGGAAGCAATGGATGTTATAATACTGATCAGCATAGTAAACAAGAGTTATTCATGGTATCAGTTTATTGCCTTTGGATGACTTAAAGCATGGCTAAAGCTGGGTTAATGAGCTAAACTTCAGGACAGCCAGTTTTTTAATAGAATAAATAATCACGGTTTTTTTTTTTTTTGGATCTGTGAGAAGAAGTTGTCCTATTTATGCAACTACTGTTTGATTGTGCTGAAATATCACACTCCTGGCAAATATAAATTCTTGCTAAGAAGGAGATTAGAAGAAAACTTTATTTCTCTATCACAAAAGACCAATAAATCCCATTGCATAGAAAAGAATAAATATTTTTAAGATGGAGCAATTGAAAAGCATCCAAGCACAAGCTGATTTTTTTTTGCTTCGTGAAATCATTTTTGACATGCTGGTATGGTAATTTTCAATTGCTATAGTGCTAGTGGGTAACATTTATTAGTAAAGTCCATCTGATTAAGAGCAACCTCACTGTTGCTTGAAATCAACTTACAAACACCTAATGGAGACACTGTCTGTAATACGTTCAAAGAACTAATATAAGTTGTGTTTTGACTCCTTGACCCCTGTTATTTATTTTATACAAAACTGGCATGCTCCAAAAGCTTTAGTGTCACCATTTCTACCAGTGCTCCTCTATTTGAGGGTGCCTAGTTGTGCTGCAAGCAATGAAAGAATTTCCATTGGCTTTGAATATTTCTATATTTCTTACAGATTTTTTTTATTTTAGTGTGGAAAAGTCTTTTTGAACTGGCCTTCATAGGTGTGATTTTATTTGGCACTCAAACAATTTAGGTTCAAGATATAAGTGAAAATTAGCATTTGGGTATCATAGCTGAGAGTTGAGTCTCATTTTCCCAGTGTCTGTATGTTCCCAGTCCCAGTTTATCACCTATACAGAAATACGGCAAGATTGTGTATGAAATTGTCAGAAGTGGCTACAGATTTTTATTGCTTTCTGAAAAGACGTAGAATTATTTTATTTGTTTTAAATTTTCCTTAAATACTTCGCATAAATGTTTGGGGAAGAGCTACAGAAGGAAGATGCATGTCAATGTCTTAACTGTACAGTGGTCCATTTTTATTGAGATATAACACTGGAAATTTCCTTGTTGCAAACAAAGACTTAAGTGTTTAAGACTTAGACTAAATGGCAAAGCTCATCTATGTAAAGGTGATGAAATAAAATTGCTGAGAGAATCAGTAAATTCTTTAAACAAGGCTGTGTAGCTACAGCACTGCAAGTAAGTGAGATGTATAGAAGAGTAAATATATTACTTTCAGTTAGAAATGTTTTAACCTGCAGTAGGAATAGCTGTTTTTTTAACACTCTGATTTGTGTACATATCTTCCCCAGGTGTGCAAGTTTTGCTTTCTTCAACACTTCCATGGTCAGTGATGACAACCACTACAAAACCTGTGGTAGGATTGTCCTTCCAACTCTTTTCTCTAATGTCAGAATGTGTATAGATTACAGAGGTACAGACCCTCCTCGCTTCACAATTTTCATTGACACTTCTGTTAGTGTCCCAATTCTAACTTCCAGATATGCATCGGGAGAATTTTTAGGCACTATGGGAAGGTGGGAGTGCTACAGAACTTCTAATGTAGGACAGATCAAGGGAATTCATTATTAAATAGAAATATTTTCTATATTGAAAAGGGAAAAAAATGTAGATACTTGTGAAGTATGTCAACAAACTCAGAAGACATAGGACATTCAAAAACATTTTGCTGATTTTTCCTTTTGTGTCCTTTGAAATGAGAACAAAATTTCCCACTATTTGTCTAGTAAATGTATAATGAAAAAGAACAAAATAAAATTAATTTTTTCATTTGCAGAATACATCAAATTAGCAGTAGTCAGCCTATGTGCAATTAGTTTTGGCAGTGTATTTTCACTTTCTTGCTCTCAGTGTCAAAGTTCTATTAGTTTTCCTGTTCACAGAGGCTTTCAGGATGCCATGGCAGTCAGGACCTGAATTGCTGATTAAAAAACGAAGCTGTGCCTCTTGTTCTCTTTACCCTATCTACCTACCCATGAGCTTTCCTTTTCCCTTGGCTTATGGAGGCTCCTGTGTGTAACCCCAGCAGTCTGCTATGCCTCAAACTCCCTTTGGGGCTAAACCAATGAATTACGACTGCCGTATGGAATAATTTCTGAGGAGCTGTCTCTCTCCCCTGTAGCTCTCTACAAATGCTTATCGTCCCATCATAACTAACCTGACCGAGGAGAGAGGGAACTTCCGCTCCCCCGACACCATGCTGGGCTACCTGGAGAACGTGTCCTTCAGCTTGCCCAACGAGTCCTTGTCAGAAAATACTGCCCTAATTCTCACAGAGGTAAGTGTCTTTCACAGCTCTGTGTGGAGCCAGATGACCCTGAAATCTCTCCAGAAGTTGGAATATCAAATGCAGCTTTGAAAGCAGCTTTGCTTTGCAAAACTTTGCGACTTTGCTGATTGCAGAAAATACATATGAAAAAAGCAGTAGCTATTTCAAGGAGTAGCAGAAGGTGAGCTTCAACCCGAGAAACCAGTTTAAAGGTATCATTAGTTCTTGGGGATATCATTTAATACATAATACCTGGAACTATGACCACACATCAAAAGCAATTATTCAGCTGAGTAAGGAACGGAGGAGGAAAAAATAATTTGTTAGCTTTATTCATCTGCAAGTGTATCCAATGAGGAATGTATAAATCTGGAAAAACAAATCAGCATTTTTTTTGCATGGCCCAGCTGATCCAAAATGCAGCAGAGATTGACAGTCATCTCTCAGGTGCAGGAAGAAGGACACTACAGTCAGAATACTGACAGCAGCAAATTGGAGGCATTTAGGATCTAATAGCAAGCTAACTTGGATGCAGGGAGCACTCTAGTTGTGGCTGTGTCAGTCTGGCCCTAGGTAACTACCCAAGTATAAACTTCTGACTTATCTTTGAGTTTCACACCTGCACTAGGGGCTTAAAATGTTATCACTTACAGCTGTCTGCCCAAGCATGTGCCTTTTTAGCATTTATTGCTCCTGTAGTAAGCAGAGGGCTGGTTGTGCCTCTCCTCTGGCTCTTTTTGCGAAGTCACACACTGTTCTTGTGGGACTCTGCAATGACAGCTCTGTGTTGGAGGTGGAAGCTGTGGCAGAGGGTCTCTTTGTGGTGGTGATGTCCTTAGCTTTTGTGAGTCGATAGTTTTATCTTGCACTGGGTTCCATTCACAATCAGGACTCCTGTGCAGACATATCATAAATATCCACTGAAACTGGTTCATGGAAACATGAGTCTGAAGTTTCACCGAGTAATTTGATTTTATGTAAGCTAATCTGCAAAGGAAGACCAAAAAAAAGGTGTTTTCTGCAGTCAGAGCTGGGGATGAGGGGTCATGTTCTGGTAACCTAGTTAGCCTCCTGTAAAATGAGTGGCATCTAATTCCCTGATTTCAGCAGGCTAGAAAGCTATTATTACAGTAATCAGCTCTGGCCTCACTAGTGATTGTTCCTTTAAGCCTGTGGGTAATACCAGGGTGACAAGGATTATTTACTCAGGCAAACAATACAAATAAATGCTTCTAAAAACTCTGTGGACAGCAATTGATAGTTTGTGCTAAAAGCTTTGCATTTGCAAACTGTAAAGCTTGGATTTCATGGATCACAGTTTAATATGTAGCAAAAACCCTTTTAAAAAGCTGTAATACATTGTTTCCTTTGTTTTGCTGAAAATTTTGTGGAGGCTTTACATTGAAAACGGAACATCATCCTGTCAGATATTGTACCTGCTTCCGACATCATTTCAGTTGCCATTTGGTTGCTCATTCATGCTATCTGATGCTGCTTTGTGTGCCATGAAAGTGGTTTGCAGACAGAAATGTGGGACGTGATTATCTTTAGCAAAGCTATTTTGGGAAGTAAACACAAGAGAGTCCTGATCATACATACAGAGTCTGTCATTTGTCTGATTGATGGTTAGGCTTTGCATTGTCTCCAGCTAATTCCCTAAAAGGCAGGCACTGGGCATGCATGCTATTTTCTGTAAAGTTGTCTCAGTCCCGATTGTCATATGCCTCACAGCACAGGAAAATGTAACTGCTGTGCAATAAACTTTCTGATTACTGACACACATTTATAATGCATTGCTTCTGACAAATCTGGCTTGTGTTTTCTGTTATGATGCTGCTCTGCTCGGTAGCTTCAGCACTCCTGCTTTCCCTCCCTTTCCAGTGGCGTATCACGTCCTTTCTGGAGTGATGCTGTGACCTGAAAAGAGATGCTCACTGAATGCTCTGGGCCATTTGGGCTGGGTCCTGGGTTTAGGATAACTTCTGTGCACACCAGGTAGAATTCCACACTGAATATCTGAGAGGGACTGCAGGGTTTGTGCTGCCCAGAGGTTAGCTCATATAGCAAAGCTCTGGCACTGCCCTATGCACTATGGCTTGTAAAACTATGCTCAGAAAAGACTTGCAGCCGCCTTCTACATTTCTCAGTGGAACTTTTTTCAGCTGATACTTTTAAGACATTTTCACAGAGATGCTTACACAGGAGATTTGGATATTTTTTTTTTTTCTGAGTAATTTTCTGTGCTCTCTTTTCTCCTCCTCCTATTTGTCTTTATCAACAAGCTTCTTAGGACAGGGACTATATCATGCTGTGTACTTGAAGAGTGCCTACCATGACAGATCTTGACCTCAAAACAAAAATTTAAATGCAAAAGTTAAGCAGATAGTAAATTGTATAAGTGACAGGACCTACATATTTATCTAGTGCTATTGAAATATTTAGTTATCTAAGTCTAAAAAAGGCATTAATGTCATATGAATGTAAATAAAACAGGAGGATAAGTTCACTTTAGTCTTAGTTCCAGCATCGTCAGCTCAGCTGTAGTGTAATGATTGCACTTTGGGAGTTTCACAGTGGTGTTACTTTTAATAAATAAACTATTACTTTAAACTGCCACCATACAGAATGTGATGAGAGTGTTGGCAGGTAGAGGTGAATCTGTGACTTGTATGAAAATGGGCTTACCATCTTAAAATAAGCCTAAGAAAGTCCTGGTAGAGATCTGCTTTGGATCCTTACTAGGAGATATAGCTGATTAATAAGCAATCAAATAATATAGTTTTATTAATCTTTTAGGCATTTTTAAAAGCTATCGAAGACTTTCTGTCGTTGCCTACCTGGCTTGATGTCCCAGAGGTAAGACAAACAGGCTTAGACTGGTAGGTTTCTTTGCTTGTGTAATTTCACACGGATATGTTTACCTCTATTATTCTTCTTGTTAGGACTTTTTGGCAGTATATTTGCAGTGAAGAGCCCCAGACAAAACAATTATGTCATTTTCTCTTATAACGTGTTTTGGAGGGTTAAAATAAGGGAAAGTTATCTGCTACTGGTTCCACGTATTTCAGGATGAATGAAACAAAATTGTATTTCTAAAAGAGCAGATGTTGTCACTGAAGTGTTTAATCACTCCTTAGCACTGAACTTTGATATTTAAAAATTTTTGTTTTCTAGATTGATGTTTTTCAATGTGTGTGGAGTATGCAGGAGGGCTTAACTGTTTAATGAACTGAAGCTTTGAGAGAGATTAAACCTATTATGGGGAAAAGTAACTTGTATCAATGTTCTCATTCTTCCAGCCTACCCTTTAGAATGCAGAGAAATACTTGCAGGAGGAACTCAGGAATTTCCTGAGATTTTTGTTTGAATCATAAGGGAGTACAGAACAGAGAGCTTTTAGACTGGGAGGAGAGGCTAAATTCAGTTCTCACAGAAGCCTGAGATGATCTTTGGACAAAACCATGTCTAATTGATTTAAGTTCTTAGTCTAAAATCCTTGATCATCTCTGATGTAAATAGATTTCAGATAAAACATATTTCTTTTTCACTGAAACACGCATTCACTCTGAGATTTTCCAGATCAGGTTCCAAGAGGGAGGATTGTTTTCAAGAGGACATATAAATACTTTGAAAGTAGCTTTATAGTGGGGACAATTTTAGTAAAGAAGAAAGAGAAGCCAAACTGCAGCATCTCAGCTTATGTTCTAACAAAGATCTGGCACCTGTCTATTATTTCAAGGCCTGCTTGGTTCTTGGCCTCATTTTGCTGAATCTTGAGTACAAGTGGCTGTCAAATGCTGGTGGGAGCAGAGAGTCATTTAGGCACGTTCCATAAAACAGTATTTTATAAGATCAGCTTCTGGCTGGCATGAATTAGTGTAACATCTTATCCACTATAAGTGGCAAAGGTTGCGAGGAAAGTCACATTTGACTCTGGCTGGTTGAATGACGAGTCACAGGAATTTCACATGGTACCTTGGCACTTTGTGCTGTGAATGCCATTTCTGTTGTTGTAGAGCCTTCTTTCTTCTTCCCCCAGACCGCTCACATATTTGGGAGTTTAATTCAAACTATTGACAGTGTGATGGCTCATATGGCTCTCAATCTGGATGAAAGCATGTTACCTTTAACTGTTGATGGCATGTCAGCTGTGGCAGGTAGGATTTAGCAGAAATGTTCTCCCTGAACTGTCTGGATGTCCTAAACACTTCTGTGCTTGCAGCCCTTCCTTTGCCAAGAGGAAGGAGGAAATCAAACCAGATAATTCTCTTTTGAATACAAAACAATGTTTCAGTTTTAGAAAGATGACTGTGCAGTTAGTCTAGAGATCACCAGCTCTGACTGTATTTGAACTTCCTTGAGGTTATTTGGGGAAGAGTTTGGAATAAGAATTCTATGAAATGAATCTGGTAATACTACACTGTACTATTAGGTAGTTAAAGGGCCTGGAGCTCTTATGCAGCACTTCAAAGCTGCAGATGTCTGGATCCTGCAAAACCTTAATTTTGCAAGGTTTTTGCAAGAGATAGCAAATAATAAGACTAATTTTGACCTTATAGGAGGATCTTGTTTTACTGCTGTTTAACATCCTAGCACCCTATTTTAATCTGTCTTTGGCTGTTACAGGTAGCCAAGGTAATCTGTCTGTTCTGGCATTCTGCTCTGCCTTGCTGAGACCTATGGGAGGGGGCAAATAACCTGAGCAGTCACCAGTACCATTAATCACTGCTCATACACTCATGGACACTGGCATTTTCAAATGGAGCAGTGGAGCTCTGAAATAATGCCTTCAAATGTCAGTGGAAGAGTGTGTTATCAATCTGTTTTGCTTGCCCTGGTAAAGTATTTTGAGCATGGGTGAAGTGATCCATGGTATATTAACAGTGTGTGTACCACCTTCTGTGTCATAAAGGACTCAGATATAAAAGGCAATTTTATACTCCAGGAATTTACTGTATTTTCTGCAAGCATCTGGTGTTTCAAATTCAAGACTTGCAATAGCTATTAGGGAAGTCTAAGTAGTCAAGTAGGTTGAAGAGGCTATTGATTTGATCATATTTTTGTTTGGGTTATCACACAGATTACACCTTGGTCAAAATGCATCCTCAGACTCTGAATTTGTCCCACTATCGATTTCCATCTCGAGGACAGAGTTATATTTCCATCCCCAGTGAAGCTTTTCATGAAAAAGGTAAGGAAAAATTTAAAGGGAGGAGCAGGTTATCAAAAAATGATTTTACTTGAAAACAGGTTTTGGTTTGATTAATGTAGTAGAATTTTCATATTACTTGAATTAATCTTCAATAATACAGCTGGGCCACAGAGTATGAAGCAATTTAAATTTGACATCTTTTAATCTCAGAGAATCCATAATTTCATAACTATTTTTAACCATCTGAATGGGTTATTTTAAAGAAATTTGAGGATTTCAGATCGGGTATTACTTATCCCTTTATGCAAAATTGCTCTTAAAATGTAGTATGAAATTAAACTTTTAAATTACAGACTTAAGCAACAGTAGCTAGTGAAACAGAATGAAGATGTAAACTCCAGTCAAGGCAAAAAGGTAGAACTCAGAAATCCATAACTACGCTAAAGTTTTAATAATCTCAAACATGAAGTATGGCAAAAATCTCAAGCTTTGGTCAAGATTCTGAAATAACAGTGCTTGAAGTTAATGATCTGTCTTTCAAGTGGGGGTTGAAGGAAAGTACTTACAAAAACACCTACCTGCATCCTCGAATCTTTGAAAATCTGACCTGTGTGACCTAAATTCAAACCCACAGAATTTACACACCCAGAGACCTTTCCACGGTCATCTCTGTTGAAGGAAGGTTGATTTCTATTCATAAAGTGCAACATCAGCTGCAGGTAACCTGCACTGAGAAATACTCAAATAATTAGTGAACTGTCTACCTGATCTGTGGTGACAGCTTTGTTTCTTTGCACCTGGCAGGGGGCTCTGGCTAGAGACTTCACTGCAAGTGCTCTGAGGCTTGAATAACTGTAATTGCAAACCAACTTGTAATGCCAAAAAAAGCATGTGAGAGGACTTTTTCCTTTCCCACTTATAAAGTCTCCCACCATGTGGATTCTATTTTTTTTTTTCCTTCAAAACAGTATCATGCTTGGTATCCTGAAATGATCCAGCCCATTAAAAATTTAACTCTTTTTCCAGCTAAAGCTCACTTCTGAGTAACTTCAGCCTTCAGGCCACACTTCTACACTGTCCAAATGAACTAAGTCAAAAATTTATTCTCCCTTAAACGGTTGACACTATAAATACTTGGAACCCAGCAAAAAGGATAGTAAAAGACATCTGTGTGGCTGACACTTAGAAAATATGCATCTATCTCTTCACTGAGATAATGGAGAACCCATAAATCCTTGGTATGCAAGCAGCAAACAGATAACTAAAATGGAAACATTGTGCCCGTGTCTGAGTTTCATGAACTGCCGGGTGATGTAGTTGATGGTGAAGTAGCCCAGAGATTACTGTAGCTACCTTTGAGACATTGACTCTTGTATGCCATGCAATCCTTCCTAGTGCTCTGTGAGGATTTTCTAATTGACAACTGATTAACAACTTATTTTGGAAGTACAGTTTTCAAGGCAAGCACCCTTCTATTTTACTTTTGATATCTGTCTCCTGGGCTTTACTGCAAGATGTTCCTACTTTTTTCACTTACTTCAAAGAATAACCAGAAATCTCCCAAAGCAAAGATATGAAAGTCTGTAGAAGTCAATGCTCCTAATTAACACAGAATTTTAGGTCTAGGAGAGCTGAGTCTCTTGCTTACAACTGTTGCTCTGAGTAATAACTCTTCTTCCCTTTTCACAGCTTGGATTACCATTGTCGGCCTGCTTTACCATAACATGCATTATTTCTTTCATAATATCAACCCTATGGATACCAAGTAAGTATCTCAGACTTCTCATGCTGTAACAGCTTGTTTATTACCTTAGTGATATACTTTTATAACAGTCATGTCATTATCAACTGTAAATAAATTAAAACCCATAACCCTGATTCCGCAATATTGAGGACATGTAGTCATTAACTAGAGAGAGATTAAAGCTTACATTAGATGCTTTATTTTATGTTGTAGTAAAATAGATTCCCATAGCGACATGTCTGTCTTTGTCTTCTCCTTCCATTCATCAGATCTGGTGTTAGAATTTCATAATTTTAATCTGTCTCATAAAAGGAAATTACATGTTTTCTCCTCACATATATAAAGATAAAGCTTGCACTTAGATGAAACAAGTCAGAAAACATAACATCCCCCTTTAGATAAAATCTGAATCCTAATCCTAGAAACCTGTAAGGTAATTTTATAACAGGAGACCAGGCAATGCTTTAAAGACCTTTTGTTTTATGTGCTGCACCAATGAAATCATTAGCAGATAAGATAAAGTGAATGCAGAGCTGTGTACCACTTGGCAATACAGTTCCCCAGGGGATTCTGCAAGGCCATTCATGTAAATCATTACACTTTCCTTTTAAGCTAGTATGACCTTATGTTTTTATTTGAACTTCACTGGGGTATGTAGATGAGTTTACACTTTCAGTCTTTTCTAATCTGTGACTCTCTGCTGTGCAGTTTATGACAGCAGAAGGAAAGATGCTACATCTCAGCTGTCATGAGTATCAGGGATTGCCTTCCTTGCTTTACATACTGTTACATGGAAGATCATGATCACAGGAACTCATCTGTGAACTTCAGGGTAAAGAACCCTGCTTGATGACCAGATTGATCACACTAAGATAATCACACAGCTATTACTACACAGCATTTTTAAATCGAGCAGCAAGCTGTTCTGCTGCTTACCCTGCTCTCTCAAAAAAGGGCACTTAGCAGGTGGCTGTCAAGGAGCCGTGCCATTAATGTGCAGTATTTCTTACGGACGTGAAGAAATAGAGGCCATAATTTATGACAGCTTACATTTTTCAAACAGGAGTAATCAGTGTAATTTAAGATGATAAGCTATAATTCTTCCTGCCCCAAGAAGGGCAGGCAGGAGGATCCCGGGAGCTACAGACCTGTCAGTCTGTCCTCAGTGCCAGGAGAAGTCAGGGAGCAGATCGTCTTCAGCGCCATGGCACAGCATGGACAGGGCGGGCAGGCCCCAGGCCCAGCCAGCGCGGGCTCGCGACGGGCAGGGCCTGCTCCACACACCTCCTCTCCTTTTCTGACAGGGTGACCTGCTGGGTGGACGAGGGGAGGCTGTGGATGTTGCTTATCTCCACTTCAGCAAGGCTTCACACAGCCGGCTGCCCTGGGCCTGCCTGGGGCACACCCCGCTGGGTCACCTGCGTGGCCCAGCCCAGAGAGTGGTGGGAAGGGGAGTCAGATCTGGTGGGGACAAGAGGAAATGGTGTTAAGTCACACCAGGGGAGGTGTAGGTTAGACATCAAGAAAAACTTCTACACCAAAAGGGTGATCAAGGGCTGGAACAGGCTTCCCAGGGAAGTGGTTGAGTCACCACCCCTGGATGTATTTAAAAGCTGTCCAGATGGGATGCTCAGGGACATCATGTAGAAGTAGCCTCATAGTTAGGTAATGTTTGGACTCAGTGATCTTAAAGGTCCTTTCCAGCCATGGTGATTCTGTGATAATCTCAGCTTCTCAAAGAGAGAAAGGGAATTGATATAGTCTTGACTTAGAAGTTGGGCAAACACAATATTGTTAAAGATGCTGAATTCTAATGCATTGCCTACAGCTTCTGGGGCTCTCATATAGCAAAATAAACCAGTTATGTCATCCCTGTGTACATTCTCTGAATTTTGTGGCACAGTACAACCTGTACACCCATTCTTGTTCCACTGAATTGTATGGTTTTATTTAGAATTAATTTTCAAGAAGAAAGAATCTCACCTTGATGCAATGTTAGAGAAATACAAAGATACTGGAGAAGAAATGTTTCCTAGATTTCTGTAATTAATCCAAACTACATGAACTAGTTACAGTATGTAATACACTACAGAATCACGACTCTAAAATTCTAGATGCAGATCTGTCCAAAACAGCATCTAAAAGCCTTGTAATACAGGGAATGCTAGCTTAGCAATTTTCCTCTGTGGAATAAAACCCCAGGTATTAAAAAAAATGTTTAAAAAATAAGTATGTACTTCTCTGCTTGGTTTTCTTTTTTTTGTGCTGTACTATTATAACTTTTTTTTGCTTATGTTTCAGTAGAATAGCTACATTTCCCCGGAGTAGTTTGTTTCAAAGACTTTCTTTTATATTCCTTCTAGCACTGAACTACTTGAACACCTGTAATTCGAAGCCTGTCCATTTTCTTCTTAAGGGCAATTTTTTTTTCCTTTGTGGTTAGAAAGCTAAAACCAAAAATCTTGGAGCTTTTGCGCTCTACAGATAGATGATTTCTGTTTTCAAACTATGTAAACAGCAGAGAAGGGAAGTCTAAGGGAGAGTCGGTTTCCAAGGGAAGTCAGTTTTTATTCTTTAAAAAAAAAAAATTAGAACAAAAAAAGATTTTGAGCTCAGTTCTGCTTTCACTCATACCCAGTTTGGGTAAATCTGTAGTAATCCCACTGAAGTTAATTGGATGAATGAAGTTAATACTCGGTGCCATCAAACACTGAGGGCTAAGGTGAAAAATTGCTCGTATATGCAAGAGTGAAACACAGCAACATGGTTTCTTGCTTGTGTTGAAATTTTTTCATGCTTTAAAATTCACCTAACTCTAAAACTGAAATGGCAGATAGTAAGTGTGGGAAAAAAACCGGTCCATCCCGTGTATCTGCATAGGAGAAATCTCACAAATGTGAGATAGTGGTCTTAATATTACCAGTCCTTCTTTAAACTGAAATTTTTCACATCAGAGTAGCAAATTCTACCCTCAGATTAAAAAATTAATTTCACATGCTGGTTACTGGGAGCTGATACAGCTGATACTGATGGATTTTTTCTGGGAGTGGTGCATGGAGTTGTGCCAAATGAGTTCTGTATTATTTGATCTTGCTGAGGAACTGAGTGAAGTTATTTTCATGTCTGACATCACTTTTTTTTTTTTTGGGTGTGTGTGTTTATTTTCTGAAAAAAAAAGAAAAAAGAAACCACTGCAGACAAAAAGCAAATGTAAATAAGGTGTTTTTTAATATGCTTTGCAAACTGTCCCTTTCCTTTAGTGTGATATGTTTGGAAACCCATGCTGATGGTTAATTTGCTGTGGCTCATATTTCTCATAGCAAATGCCATTCACTCACATACTGAAGAAGCAGGTGACAGATACCATTGTACTCCTGCACAGTTTGCTACTGATAGTGTAAAAATTTTACCCTGCAGCCAAATGGACCTTAGTTACTCCTAAATGTGCAAAAATGCCAAAGTCATACATTTTAGCTGAAAGCAAAACTAAAAGGGTTCTTATGTACTGCAAAATTACTTCAGCCTAGGAAAAAGTATTACCTGGACTAATTAGATGTTTAGTCAGGTTCTGCTGTTTTTATTATGACCTGACTTACTCTAACCAAGCTAAATGAACATAATCAGTGTTTCATATAAATTACTTCTAAATGTATTCCTGTGTATATTTTTATCTGCATTAGCTATAATGTAAGTGTATGTGTCTTACACACTAATACATGTGTTAAACTAGACAGTCTGAAAACCCTGCAAGTTTTCTCCTCGCTTAGGTTGCTTTGCTTAGGCTATTTTTAGATCACTTTGTAGGATTCTCTCTAATTATCTAAAGTGCTTTCAGCAAGGCTTGTAAACCTTTGCAAAAGAGGAGAATGAAAGTGTAATTATGATATCAAGTCTCCTAATGTCTAAAGCTGTTCCATATACTTTGTGGCTGTTGCTTCTAGTCCTGTAGGACCTTCTGAGGCCAGATCTTGCTCCCCTGTAAAAGTTCATTGACTTGAATGACAAAAGAATGTTCTGTGTTCCTGGTGTTGTGGGTGTTGTAGATGAACTAAAAAAAATTCTGTTGTTCTATTTCCTTAATACAACTTTTTTTTTTTTTTTTTTTCCCCCCAAGGATTCCTGAAGCTGCTGCCTACAAAGGTTTTATGATCTCAGCGGCCAGTTATCTTATCTCTGTCAAAGTGGAACCTCTACCCAAATTGTCCCACAATCTGTCAGGATCTCCTCTGATTACCATCCAGCTCACCCACAAATTGGTAAGAGAAATGGAAACTAGGCTGTTGTCAGAGCTGTTCAAAACTTCAGTGTTTATGATGACTTTGTATTTTTGGTGGATATGTTCAGTAGCAATTCAGATGGCATTTGTGACTACAGTATCATGTTTTTCCAACCATTAAACTTCAATGACTTCAATTCTGTTTCCATCACTGCAAAAGGCTGATTGGTGCATATATTGAAAAAGAGAGTGAAGTGACAAGTATTGCTTCAGGCCTTTCTGTATGTATTGTTCTGTGGATGTGTCTGTGCTATCTACAATAGCACAATTACTGCTTTCTCATTAGAGCTGTCAGAAACAAGAATTCACTTACATTTTTTGCTTTTGATTTTAATCCACACTAAGATAATGGAGGTGTTTTGAATGTTCTTGTGAATTAACCCAGAGAAGGAACTCCTCCAAGGGCAGATAAAAGTATGATGGGCAGAGTATGATCTCCTAGAATAGGAGTGAAGCAGGTTCCAATCCCTGCTCTAATGTGAATTGCCCTTTCTAGAGAGCAGAGGATTCTGAATCTGAAAAACAAGAAATAAGAATCTGAGGAAGCTCAGGGACAAGTTTTATTGAAACTCATAAATTTTAATTTCAGTAAGTTAGCCTATTGCAGCAAGAAACTGGAAGATTAAAACTTGGAGGAAAAGGTATCTCTTTGTCTTGTTAGTGGAATGAAGAATAGTTGTGTTCATACTCTGAGGTGTTGGTATGAGGCATGCAACATCTATTACCTGCTTACAGCATAGAATGAAAATGGAAAAGAAACATTTCAATTCTTATGTTTTCTAGAAAACATCTCTTGAATAAAGTATTTTATCGTATTTTTCTTTCAATGACTGTTTTTGAGCCAGTTTGCCTTCTTCCTGTTGGACTTCTGTTAAAGATGCAGTAGGCTAGAGAAAACAAATACAGGAAAAAAACCCAAGGTATAGAAATGAAAAGTGTTGTTTTGCTGGCAGTTTTTCAAACTAAGGACTCTCCTGAGCAACCCTAGTGGCCTCTTAGAGGTGGGCACATGTGAAGTGAAGACTATTTTGTGTTCATCATTCATAAAATATACTTTGCTTTATTTATTCAGGTACCTTCTCATGCTTTAGTATGATGATTTATTACCAGGCTTTAAACAAACCTGTGTTTATTTTTCTTTATGCCTGTTGACTTTCAGTGTGAAGATCACTGGGATCTTCATATACAGATAGAAATTTTACATTTATCATTTGTCTCTGTTTTTGTCAGCAGAGTACATGAGATTGTGATATCGACGTGTCTGTCTAACACATCCTGTGTATAACAAATACAGGGTGATTGGGAGTTTCACACTCTTAGAGCAGTGTGTGCTTTCTATTGTGCATTAGGGGAGTGGGTGTTTTCTCTTACAGAGCTCATGTTGCTAATTGGCAGCACATAGACAGCCATCTACTATCTACAGTATTATTTCTGCAGCTACTTCCATTTGACTTGGTTTTGGTTTGTGGTAGGGTTTTTTTTTGCATGTCTGGAGTTTTAAAATGTATGTTTTGGTTTTTATTTGTTTGTTTTGGGTTGTTTGTTTGGTTGTTTTTTTTTTCCCCCCCCCAAATTTTATTTTTTAAAATCCTTGAGGGAAATGGAGACAGTAATCCCATTGTGTTTACAGCATTGAAACAGTAGCCCAGTGCTGTCTGAAATCAGTCCAGAAATACATGTCAATACATTTATATTTAAAGTTCTGAGAATTTTAATTATAACAGGACAAGTATTTCTAAATGTGTAGTGAGCATGCTCTTAATCTCTGTTCAATAAGCTGTACTAGGATGATAACTGTGGTAGATTTTGCCTTTAGGCATGCAAGACTGAGAGGAGATAGAAAAAGCACAGAAGGTGCACCTGTCTGAAAGACAGGGAACTCTTCACCCACTTACTAACTCTCTGCAGTAAAGATCTGCTCCTGGCTTTTACGTCTTACTAACTGGTACCATCCTGGTACTATGAGAAATTTAAAAAATGCAATGAAGTTTTGCTCCACAGCTGTCATTAGAAAATTCAGAATATTATTGCATTTTTTTACCCCTGAACAATTTGTGGACATGAAGTAGAAGCTGCTCCCATGATGGACTAAATGCCTATTTCCCCAGCGTTTTTCCAATCAAAGCTAAATGCAACTGTGTGAGATTTTCTATACTTGTCCCAGAACCTAATTTCACTGTTATCTGATGGAGAAGCATTTTGTACGTCCCCTAGCCTTGTTTCTAAAATTGCTTTTAAAATTCCAAATCAGATGTTAAAAATCCACATGCCAAAAGCATTCAAAAATGAAAACATTCTAAAATCATCAAATACATTGAAACAGAAAATCTGTTTTGACATTGTAAAATATTTTACTGAAATCGTTGTTTGCTGTATTTCATTTATATTGTTTTCCCAGAGGAAGAGTGTAATTCAGCATCAGAATAGATGTTTAACAGGAGAACTAGGCATAAAACTTTGTAAAGGGAATTAATAAAGCTATAGTATGAGATCTGGGCAATGGGAATGCATCTAGTTATCTGCTCTTCCTTTCTTGTGTGTGGTTTATTTTCTTTTTTCCCTGCTGGTGTGAATTTGCTAAAAAAAGCTATTAATCAGTGAGCAGCAGAACCAACCCACATACCTCTGGGTATCTTGTGTATGTGTTATTTGAACCCCAGCTGGCAACTAAGCACCACACAGCCCCTCGCCCACTCACTCCGGCTCCAGTGAGATGGGGGAGAGAATCAGGGAGGAAAAAAGTAAAACTCATGGGTTGAGATAAAGACAGTCTAATAGGGCAGAAAAGGAGGAAAACAGTAATAATGATAATAATTCAAAAAGTTATAATAGTAAAAGAATGATATTATACAAGTGATGCACAATGCAGTAGCTCACCGCTCTCCAACCAATGTGTAGCCAACTCCATAGCATCATCCCTGGGTCGACTTTCCCCCAGTTTACAGACCTGGGATGACATCATATAGACTATTCCTTTGGCCAGTTTGGGTCAGCTCTCCCCATTGTGTCCCCTCCTAATTTCTTGTGCCCCTCCAGCCTGCTTGCTGGCAGGGTGTAAGAAGCTGAAAAGTCCTTGACTTAGTCTAAACACTACTTGGCAACAACTAAAAACATTGGTGTGTTATCAACATTATTCTCAAACTAAATCCAAAACACAGCACTGTACCAGCTACTAGGAAGGAAATTAACTGTGCCAGCCCAAACAGGACAGTATGGATTCTGCATTCTCTGAGCAATCTTTAGGAACAAAGGTACAGTGTAGATAGAAGTACACTGAATATTTGTCTGTGGGGACATGCGTAGTGAGGAGTTGAGTAGAATGTGTGGAGCTCTGCTGAAGTGGTATATACAATGAATTTGATAGGAAGACTGCTTGCCTCAGACACCTAAGGCTTTGGGAATATAATTTCTTTTTAGCATTTAATATTAAAAAATGGATGAATAGATTAAATCTTCCAGTTATGTGTAATTATGGCAACAGTGGGCCAAATCTATTCTTTTTTACACTGCTATGTCTACAATGAATTCTGTGGAATAATTTTAAATAATAAAAATACAGACAATGTACTTGTGAATTTACTTAAATAAATTACTTATGCAAAGTAAATTCAAGGGAATTTATTTAAGCAAACTGGGAAATGACTGTATGTCTCTGAAAGCTATCAGGTGATAGCAGCACAGGTGCTTTCCAGCAAACTGCATATTTCACTCCCTCAAGTAGTTTCACTTAGCTGAGTATGAAGACTCATGAAATAAAAGTTGAATTTAAATTTTAAAAAAAATTCTGTCTGCAACGTCACTGTGTTAAAATATGTACTTTAAAGAGTGATAGTCAAGCTATTTATGTAAGTTTATGATTATAAAAGCATAAAATCTGGATCAGAAACCTGTTTCATCCATTAAAATACTTCTTGCTTGCTTGTAATAATAGGAGAAACATTTGAAGTGGATACCTCTCTCACTTTTGTCATTGCCTGTTTGGTCCACATAATGCTCTCAATTTAAGAGGAAAGTGTAATAAGAAGAAGTAAAAATAACTAGTCCAAAGAAGTTTTCTCTTTTAAAATCTGAGTCCAGCTGATCTGATTTAGTTATAGCTACTCCAATGGAGACTACCGGATTTTACAAGTGTACAAATGTGAGGAGTGAAAAAAGAATATGGTCTCTCATACTGATAATAGTGGTGATTGGCCCAGCTTGATAAAATGCTAATTCTTTATCCTGTAGAACATATGGGAAAAATGCTAATCATTGAGCAACAGAAAACAAAAGGGAGTAAAATAAAACATGTCAATTTTAGGTAATAGTTACAAAGAGAACCCCTGTGAACTGGATATCACTTCTTGAATCAAAACTTCAGAGAGCATTTGTCATTCCACAGCCCAACTCACTCTTACTATGAGACTTGGGACCTTACAAACTGATAAATAAAAGAAATAAAATAGCTAATAAATTAGGTAAAGATGCAGGAGATATTTATAAATGGCATGTTATGCTTCCTTTTCTAGAAAAGTGCCATGGGGCAGTAGGCAGGGTGCACAGAAGAGATGGGTGCCCAGCCTTGGAACAGGCTGGAGGCTCAACTAGTGCTGTGGAGCACAGGAGCTGAGAAATCGCCTCATAGTTAATACACACACTGTTGAGGTCACTGGTACAAGGACTGAGGAGACTGAACTACAGACTTGCCTCCATCAGGGAGCACATAAGAAGAGGACATGAGTAATTACAGGCATTAGGCCTTAATGTTCAGGCTTGCAGCTGTATTCTCACGGGACTAATATTGCTGGTTGATGTTCTTTCTACCAACAGAACAGGCAGAAAATTTTCTGGTCAAGCTTCCATCAGTGGAAAATGGTTTTCCAACTTAAAATAGAAATTCTCATGAATCAGGATGAATAAGTCATCCCATTTTTTTTCAGAGGATAAAAATATTACTTGTTTAATTCTTCTTAGGAAGTACAGACTCCCTGTGGATAGGAT